ACATCATCTCTGATATTAGGATCATACGACTCGATAGGGGGGCATATCCCTGGATCAGATACAAGATCATTCACATTAAATTGAGCCCGGGACTTCTTTGTGTTATTCACTAACTCTTGTGCTCGACTAGAATCAGTGGCGGGACTAGATGCACAACTAGAAGTAGAAGAATTGGGTATGGACTTTCATTTTGGTTGAAAAAATCGTTCCATAATCTGCAAATGTCCCAATTCATTTTTCAATTACAATTGATTCAAAAAAATAATCAAGTACACACGGGTTTTAAAACTAACAAAGAATCAGATTAATGGACACAAGAACTGAAGAACATCATGTTTTCGGTGGTTTTTGTAATGTTCCAAGTTCCAACTTCCAACGCTATTCACAACTATGGGTGGTTTGATCTAATATTTCAAGAATTGAAATTGAACCATAAATTTTGATTCTTTTGTATTCAATCACTATAGAAAAATTGAAATCGAACGTTATGATTCTGGGCCTGAAGAATATATCATCATTTTTTATGTATAGTATAGGGTGTTTTATTTTTCAAATATATCAGTTTTAATTTTCTTAGAGCCTTCGCTGCTTGAAGATTCAGACAATTGATTTTATTTGGTCCTCAATTATCCTGAAATGCTAATGGAGCCATGGGACATTCACTTGGCTTTTAGCATGGGGAAATATAGTCTCTTCACAGGGATGCACATGAGTAGAGTTGAGAATAACTGAATACTTGAAAAACTTTATTGATACCGAATGCGTTAATTGAAGTCAAGCTAATTTAAGCAAGCTAGGGGGCTATTGAGCTCTCATTTGCTAGGTCCGGTTCTAAATTTCAGTTCAAATCTACAAAAATAAATATTCTCCTAAAAATTCACAATTCAATATTTCAATCAATGGCATTAGGCAGTAGGCAGTTGAGGGAAATTGGGAAAGCTGGAAAAAAAAATAGAACAAAACCAAAATCCAACAAAATCCTAAAAAATAAATATTCTCCTAAAAAATCCTAAAAAATCAATTCAACTTGAGTACAGTAACAAAATTCAACAAAATCAAAATAGCCAAATCAAAATAGAATAAAATCAAAAAAAGAACAAAAAATAAATAAAGAGGGAAAGCCGGAAAAAAAAAAGAGTTACCACACTTACCAGTCGGAGTCGACAGTCTCGACAGCAGGCGACAGCAGGAGCAGGCGAGCCTTCGAGTTCGAGTTCCGGTCTGCAGACTACAGTGATTGGCACTAGATTTTTCTGAACCAGAAAATGTAAGTGAAGAAGAAGGTCCCTCCCAACTGGCAACCAACGAAGTCACAATTCTGGAATCTGAAAGAAAGGGCAAATGAAATGGGTATTAATATGGGTCAGGGTAATGGGTTTGGACTTTGGATAAATTAATTTTACTTTTGGGCTAAATAATAAAAGGCCCAACATTTTGTAAAAAATCCCAAACCAACAAAAAAAAAAAAAAATCAAACAGGTTTGAGGGTTTCCATCTTCTTCTCCAGGCGACCGTCGGCGACCACACTGGTGACACAGCTTGGAAGCTCTGTAGATTTCGGCGGAGCCAGAAAGCGCGGCCACGCCCCCTGGCCGGGTGCTGGCTCCGCGCCTGCCTGCAACGTGGGCATCAAAGATCTTGGATATTAATTACATTCTAGGAACATAAGTAACAAGTATTGATAGTTTTGAAGTGAAGCATAATACATTTTCTTATCAGATAGAGTTGCAAATAATAAATTTAAAATTTTAGTTCATCTCTGTACTTAGAGGTATTCTTCCGAAAGGCTCTTGAAATTTTAAACGTCAATGTTTAGTCACTAAATCTTATATTCTTTACCCCTGTTAGTCACTAGAATCGATTAAGTTCACTTAAACTAATAGAGAGGCTGATTTGGCTAATAATATGATTATGTGGCATGACCCTGGATAGTAATCTGAAAAAATAAAAATATAATAAAAAATAAGAATCAGTAGTTTGCTTCCTTAAATCAACATATAGATAACTAGAAAGCATATGACCGACTATCATAAAGATGACATTCATCAAACAAATACAATTTTGTTTATAAAAGACAACAAATTAGTAGGACAATTAAATACATGATTAAGAAAAATAAGCTTTTATATATATATACCAAATTTGCATTGAATTAAGTAGGTAAGGGAAAAAAATTGTTCCAATATTTTTTGACAGAAATATTTTTCATAATCTTTGTTATAAAATTGGAGTTCAGTAAAAAGGTTTGTAAGCGATAGGTCACGAAAGTGCATTTATTTTCAGACTCCACTATATATGATTTTTCACAAAAAGTGGATGAGGTTCTAGTTAAATTTGTAATTAGTCATTAATGTATTTAATTTTGTTATATATGTAGTAAATAAAATTGGTTACTCCTTTTGTGTCATCCACACTAAATCTGATGTCGCTGTGTTAAACCTTGACATAGACTAACGATCATTATGTCAATGTCATGAAATTACAAATCTTCCAAATAAAAGGCAATTCTTAGTAGAAAAATTCCACTTTTACAATCAAAAGTTCAAAACCGCTCCCTTTAACCCTAATCTTATTTTTCAACTACTAAACATTAACGTAAAAATGATTTCGGTAGAGCTAAAATAGGAGTTCATTTGGAAGGAATAGATTGCTTTAATAGACTTTAGCTCAAGCGAAAGTTTAAAAGCTACATGCTAGATAATGATATGATGTTAATCAAGCTAATGAAATGACCAATTACGTAACACTATTTAACTTCATTGACTAAATGAGACAACAGTGCTTTAGTAATTGTAAATTTTGCTTGAACCTAAGTGACTATTAGGAAAATTAACTTTATATATTTGACTAAGCGATAATTATTTATTGTATCAAATAATTGTTTCATGAAGATATTCTTTATTTCATGTTCTATAAAAAATTACTCGAGAATTTTCATGTAAAAATTATTTTATTGATTTTTTATTTATTTATATAGGTTATGGGTAAGTCCATAATCAAATTAAAATTTTAGCTATCATAATCAACAATGTTTGTCTCTACTTTTTCTCTTTCCTAGATCGATTTTTTGTAGAGATCCCCAAGATATTTTGCCTTACAACAAGTACGAGCACAATGCCCTTTCATTTCACATTTAAAACAATTTTCTTCGTGCTCCTTTTTGAATATACTACTTTCGTGGCTTGTACATTTTGAAATTGTTGCCCTATTATTGAAAGTTTTGTTGATTATTTCATCGATAGTTTATTCTACATTCACATCTAAATTTGTGTCGACGTTCAAGTTAAGTCTTTATCTTGATATTACATTTGCTTTAGGCAGTGTAATACCATTTGCACATAACTCATGATTCTTCATTAGTAGTTTCTTATTTTGTTTAGCTATAAGCGGACAAAATATGAGTTTTGCATATTTTTTGAAACCATGCTCACAATATTACTGTTGCAGAAGCATATTCGAGACACGAAAGGTGGAAAAGCTTTCTCCAATATATCTTCGTCAGTGTTTTTCCTATACAAGTTCGATTTTGAATATATTTTGAACAGTTTAGAATTGTACTCTTTAATAGTTTTTGTTGAACACTAATATCTGATCTCACTTAAAATGTACTTCACGCCTATCTGTTTACATATTAGTTCGGATTTTCGAGATTAGCTCGATCTCATAGCCGCCGTAATTTCAACAGACATAACGATTTCAAATTCCTTACACCTTGTCAAATCGCCCAATTAGTCAGATACACTTAGAAGAAGTGACTTCAGCACCGTCCAAACCCCACCAATTAACTACCGTAACTACTTATCTCGAAGATGGTCACGATTTTCCAATTAAAGAGGCGTTATCGTGATTTGATTGGAACCGTCCTCATCAACCAATGAAGGAAAAAGATTGGCGGCACACAAATCAAGTTCAGCACTATGATTGATTAGATTGACAAGACATAATTCTAAGAATATATGACTTAATCTCCTTTATAAACAAAAGAGGACGATCCCCTCCAAAGGACAAGCCAGAGAGGACGATTTTTCCCACCAAAAAAAATAAATAAATAAAATTTACTTGTAACCATTATTATTATTATTATTAAAAAGTACACTTTTTCTTTAAGTTGGCTAAAAAACACATAAAAAAGCATACTTTTTCTTAAAGTTGGCTAAAAAACACACCCAGTAATCTTTGACATCAACAATTTTAGAGTCTTACAAGCGAATGTGCATCCACTCATAGCGAGCTTTGGGGAGCACTATAAACCTCTGGTAATCAAGTCTTTTAGTCAAGTTTTTCAACGAACTTATGGATTTTTCACGCTGAGGTATTTGATTTTCAATCCATTATGATGATGATGAACAATGAAGATAAGTGTTTTTACAAAATCATTCATGGGTTCTTTATTTCATTCTTTTATTGCCTCTTCCAGATCTTTTGAGACGAAATGAATATCAGCATCGAGGGTCCATGGTAGATAATTTTTGCCAGATATATCAAATGCAACAAACTCAAGTTTTGTAATGTATGCCATTTGAATAACTAATTCAAATAATTTATTCTTTGAAACATGTGTTATTTCGGAAGCATGTTGTATTTTATTATTGTTTCTTTAATAGCAATATGTCAATATTCTTCTGAAATATTGAAAATTATAATTCATGCTCTTTATTAGATAGTAATATTCTTCTGAAATATCAATTACAATATTGTGTTACTTTAAGAGCAACAATGAATTATTATTTAGAAATATAAGCTATTCAGGAGCCATGTATTATTTACAAAGTTGTGTTTTTTCGGGAACAACAATGAGATACATGATCAAAATAAATATCTAAAGTTATTTAATTAGGTTCAAAATATTAATTATCATACAAATAGGATATGATATAAAAATTAATTACCAAACATATAAAATATGAATTTATATATAAAAATTTATTATCAAATAGATTGGATATAATTTTACATATAAAAATCAATTATCAAACATGTATAAGGAAAAATTTCAAACGTGCACAAGAATTTCCCAATTGTTAAAAATTCTAGACTATTCATAAGTACACAAACTCATGTGTATGATTGTGCAGGCAAGACATACAATTATAGTGCATATTAAATAAAAAGAAATTAACATGTTATCATATTAATTTCAGTACACGTGATAAATGATATTATACTTTAAAAAAATTACTATATTCACCAATTTTTTAAGAATTAAGTTTTCGTGCCGAAAACGTGTTATAAAAAGTAAATACTCTTGTTATTCACTAATAAATTGACTTTGTAGCCAATGAGGGGCTGAATCTGGTAGACAAATGCTCCTTCAACCAATTGAAGTTAGAGGGGGAACCTGCAAGATTATTCAAACGGACCACTTCCATCTGCCGTATGTGCGGCATCGATATTTTGACTAAGCCCCCATTTAGCCTTCCATCTGCAAGATTATTTTGGAGAATAAGTAGTTGAAAAAGAAAAAAAAAAGTTTTCGATTTACATGTAATATTATTTTATAGAAGAAAGTGTGATTAAAAATAAAAAAAATGAAATTTAATTTAATGGGGATCAAACGGGAGCTAAATTTTGTGAAAGTTTATACCTTACATTCTTTGTAAGAGAGGGACTGTCCCTCTTTTAATTGCTTTCGTACCTCTCCTCTTTCGGTGTAAATTCTGGATGTAAGGCTACGTGACTTCCCATGTTTACATTTTCGTATTTTTAGAACGTGGTCGGTAAACTCCTAACTCCCACTGGGACTAGGCAGGGGACCTACGTTGATAGTGTTGAATAATAATAATAATAATTTTAAAAAAAATGAGGGAGAGAGAGAATCATTGAATTGAATTACTTGTATGATACGAGGAAGAAGTCTGGACAGTCTCCGCCGAAATCTGAACATTCGTTCCCACACTTGAGATGACTGAAAATTTACTGCTAGAAACCCCACAGACAGCGGATTTCTATATTTTCTGTGCATTTGCCCAGAAACAACGGCACAGGTGAGGTTGGCTTGCTGATGTCTACTCCTATCTGCATAATTGCAACTTTCATTTATAGCCACTTCAAATTACATACGTCTCGTTGACTGACTAGATGATCAAGCAAAGCCATACAGCGTAACGTCCCGTCTTTTCATTAAAGATAGACAAAGAAAAAGAGGATACTAAAAAAGAAACAAGTAATATTGTGTGGCATGATGGGGAAGAAAAGTCGTGGTGCTACTAAACTAGGTGGCTTAGACTTTTTTTATTAAATTTTATCCTCTAATTCAAAGAAATTCGAATGGACATTGATTTTGATTGAAAGTTTACAAATTCAATCGTAAGGTTATAATCGAAATCTCGTACGTGTGGTGTTGAGGGGTGGCGGAGGGGGCCTATACTTAGACTTAAATGAATAAAAGAGGTCCACTGCAAGAAATTCTCTGCCCTCCATAGAAATAAGTATCCACTCCAAGAATTTCTTGACAAGTAGATCCAAGAAATCCTCTGTGATCCACAGAAATAATTATTTCATAAGTCCTACGAAAGTGAAACAAAATCATGACGATAAAAATCAAATATATATTCATAAATTCATTATGTACAAATTTATACAATCTTCTTTGTTTTATTGTTTATTCTACAGGTTTGATAAACTCTCATGAAATTCTATTGATCTTTTACTAAATAAAATATTACTTACATATGTGAGACAAGTGACTTATATTCTTTCATTTTTTTTTAAAATAGAAAAATTATTTATTGTAATTGTTACTTGCAGTTTACACGAGTAAACTTTTTGATGCAACTAGCCAGTTTAAAGTTGAATTATTGTTTTAGGAAGTTACTTCTATTGCTCAATCAAAGTCAAAGTCAAAGTCAAAATCAAATTTTAATTTCAATCACACATTTAAAACTACTAATTATTTTCCACACATTATTCTTTCAAAAAAGTTGCCAAAAATATTTCCTGAACAGAGGTTAACATTACAATGAAAATAAATAACTTATTTTTTAAAACTTTTATACTAAAAAGGACTATTTTAAAACTTATAAGAAAATTTACTTCTACTAACATTTTCGGATAATGCACCTTTTTTATTTTTAAAAGTAATTTTTCCATTACTATTAGAAGAAATAACTTATGCCTCTAACTTTAATTGATAGAAAATATTGTACATACTTTAAAAAATAATCACATTACTGTGAGCTTAGAATCTGAGCAAATTCTCAAACTTTCAGTAATAGGGGGAACTTTTCTACATCAGTTGCTATGCCACACGAAATGGAGCCACTTTGATTTTAAGTTACATTTTTTTAAAATTAAATAAGCGTGTATTTGGTACGCTGTATTGATTAGAAAAGATATTTTATGATGTATTGGATTAACGTGTAGGTATTATGATTCATATTTTTGTCTTAGTTTAAAATAAATGAAGTTATTTGATAACTATTTTTCTATTACTTCTAGGTAAAAAAAATATATTTATTCAATTGTAATTTTTACGTTATTATTAAAATAAGTAACTTATTTTTTGCTTTAATTAGTAGTAAAA